CCGTTTCTTGCAGCACATTTCTTAATTTTTTCAATATTAAGTTTAAAAATGCCTCTTAGTGCTGAGGATGTTTCGAGTGGTGTGACACTTACTGATGATGGACGTTCCATTAGATATGCAGCTAATGCCATCAGTGTTCCATATGAAACTTTATGGGACGCCATCAGTTTCGGGAAACTGGTTCTTACAATAGAAGGCTCGGTTCTGGACGGCCTAGGCTAACAGAACCACGGGATGACCGGTTTTTGACTTGGAGAATTTTACGAAACCGGCACCTTACTGTTGTTCAAGCGATTCATCAGCTCGAAGAAGTTCGAGGTGTGCAAATTTCTGAACGTACCGCTCGGAAAAGATTAAATGAGTATGGATTAATGGCTTTTCGTCCAGTAAGGAGGACCAGAGTTGACCAGAACTCACAGAGTAACACTGCTGGCTTTTGCTCGAGAACACAACCATTGGAATATGGAGGAATGGAGTGCTGTACTTTTTACAGATGAGTCAAGATTCGCTCTTCGTTCTCCAGACGGGCCTGAAAGGGTATGGAGAAGAAGAAACGAAAGATATGCAGCCTGTAATTTTTCCCAGAGCCAACCTTTCCAACTTGGTTCCTTAATGGTGTGGGCTGAGATTTCAATGGAGCGCCGCACAGAATTGGTTGTTGTTCGTGAAGGGTCTTTGACGGTCGTTCGCTATGTAGATGAGATTTTGGAACCTCATGTGTTGCCTATCCTCAATGAAATCGGCGATCGTTCTATTCTAATGCACGGTAATGCACGCCCACATGTCGCCCGCATAGTGCAGACGTTCCTTCAACAGAAGAATATTGAGGTTTTAGCCTAGCCAGCACGTTCTCCAGATTTGAACCCCATTGAGCATTTATGAGATAACCTCGGAAGACGAATAAGAACGCGTACAACACTTCCTGATACACTGCAGGACCTTGAAAGGGCTCTTCGGGAGGAATGGAATATCCTCCAGCAAAGGGACATTTCCCGACTGGTGGAAAGTATGCCGAGGCGTCTTCAAGAAGTAGTGAAGGCAAGAGGAGGAAACACGCGCTACTAAACGATGATGTAATTAATTTCTTTTAGAATAATAATAGTTCGTTTTTCATTTTTTTTTCTCTAATCTTTCTTACCCAATCACATTTTGATTATTAAAGGTAAAAAAGATTATAAAATTCCATAAATACTAAGTATTATCTACAAATACCATGTATTATATACAAATACAACTTTTTTTACAAGTGGCAGAAATATTTATAAATGAAAACATGAAAAAAATGGTGGGTGGAATTTTTTGCCTGTCAGTGTATATATATATTTATTATTATTATTTTTTGTATTAATATTTATGAATGACCCAGCTGTAGATATTATTTCCGAAATAATTCAACATTTAAAACAAATATCAGATAATATAATATTTGCACTGCAATTCATTGGTCAATGTTTCATAAATTGGAGAAAATGATTTTAATATGATAATCCAAAACAATGGATTAAGATACGGGCATATACCAACTAGTGATTAGATAATATAATAGATAGATGACTTCATTTCAGATTTGAAGTGCTGACTATGATCATATTCCTCAATTCGATGGAAATCCTCATGATTTATTAAAATTTGTAAATGTAGTAAGACAAGTTAAGAATATAGTGTGTGGACAAAATAATACTTTTAGGGAATTGAACGCAAAAGTTTATTTAGCAAGTTACTCGCAATGTTAACGGATAACACCGATTATATCAACACCATTTGCGAATTTGAAACAATAGAGGACTTATTAGATTATCTCGAAAGGACTTTTAGAGACTCTAGATCGATCGAACAACTCACTTTCCAACTTCTTAATACAAAAATAAAGTATAAAGAGCACCCCATAGATTTTCTCCATTGACTTGACAAAAACAGAACTCTATTATTTCACGGCATCGTATCGACAAAACTGTCAATAAAGAAGCGGTAATTGAATACTTAGAAAGTAAATTACTATATAATTTTTTCACAAACATGCCGATTCATGTGAGAACGTACTTAATGACTAAAACAAAAACATTAAAAAACCTAGACGATTTGAGGAACTTGATACAAAATGAAAATCACCTACTTTTTGATGACTTAATTTCTTCCCGATCAATGAATAAGATGGGAGAAAAACAGAGTGAAGAAAATTTTGCTTTAAAGAAATTTGTTGATAAAAAATATGATCATAAAAAAACAATTTTTTAACCGTAACCAAAATCGGGGATTTAACAATCACAATCAAAATGATAACCCTAATTATAATTATAATTACAATCCGAATTATCACCAACCATCCCCTCAACATAATAAAGAATGGAATCCGCAAGATCAACAAAGATTTTTCAATCCACCGCCAGGCCCTCACCGGCAAAATTTTCAAAGACCCCAATACAATAATAACTTGAGGCAATAACTCTACAACGGTACAACAGGACAAACCGTATCAATGAGGACTGTAAACTTACAACAAGCAAATAGATAACCCATGTACAAAATCGAATATGAACTGGAAGAAGATCCTCGCGACGTAAAAATAAAAGAATTGGAAACAAAATTAAAATATTTTTTAGGCTCAAATCAAAGGGAAAAAAAATCTAACATAACATTAGAATTCAAACGATTAATTTTCGTCAACTACCATCTGTAAAGGACCACGCTAATTGGAAATGGCTTATTGATACGGGCTCTAAATACAACTACATAAACCCTGAAATTATTCCCAAAGGTATAAAAAGAATCAAAGAAAACTTTACAATGAAGACAGCTACGGGAGAAGAAAAAGGTAGCGAAATCATATATACTTATTGTGATAGAAATTTTTTGAAAAATCCTTACAAAATTATATTTTATGTTTATAAATTCAGTCCTAACTACGATATATTGCTCGGGAACGAAACCATGAAAAATTTGGAGACGAAAATAGATTTTAAAGAGAAAAAAAATGACAACAAAATATAATTCTTTTCCTTCTATCTTACAAGCAAATAAAAAAATTGTCAACTTGAGCAAAGGAAATAACGAAATAAAAATACCTTACAATGGAATATATTATAGAATTTTAAAAATAAAAATATTGAGATTCCAGCTGGGGTTTATGAAAACGAATTTCGAGTAATTAGCCTGAGCGATAGTACATTCGAATTAAACTTTCAGGATTTACTAGCTGAAGAAGTGGAGGAGACGCAACCACCTTCTGGTATTATAATTAATGAGATTCCAAAATTAATTCGTGCCTACCATATGAAGGAAAAAGATAAAGAAAATCTCATCATTCTCTTTAAAAAGTATCCTGCAAGCTTTAAGACTGATCAAGACCAATTATCGGCTAGCGACGTTCTGGAACATAGAATCTAGACTAAATCAGACGAACCAATCTATTCGAAAAATTAATATAGTAAGACAAGGTAAGAATATAGTGTGTGGACAAATACTCACACCTACCCACACCAATTTAAAAATAACATCAAAGGAGAAATTGCGAAATTGTTAGAGAACAAAATTATACAGCCTAGTAATTCACCATATAATTCACCTGTGTGGAAAACAACCAACTGACATCTGAATTGAAAAAAGACATTGTTATCTTAAATCATTACAAAAAGCAAATTAAAAACACCAACCACATTATTGACATCTCACTGGGAAAGCTAAATCAACAGTATAGTTAAATGAGTGCTGCAAGAGACTTAGCACTTGTAGAACGGAGGAGATAAAATACAAGGCTATTGTGTAACGCCTATCACCCCTTCTCATATTCCGGTCACTCCTATCCCCATCCCAGAGTGGGGTATATTAGCACCCTTAATCTTAGAGAATTCATTCTATCTGTAAACGTTTCACTTGATGTAACTTGTGTAACTTTGTAAGAATAAAGTCTTTTTAAGTCTTTACTGTTGTGAGTTCGTTAATTTGCGATAACGGTCTCCAGGTTTCGATATTCGTCTCGATTTAGGCTAGGATTGTTTCGAATTTCGCCTATCTTGCGAAGTCTCAAAAATGGCTATTTTAAAAAAATATTTGAATGGGAGTTGGAAAGATGCAAACTTAAATAATCACAATATCTGTTATAAAGCTATTGGACACCGGGGACCGTAACCGCAGTTAACGTGTTAAGATACCAAATGATGATGATGATATTTTTTTTATTCTACAACGAGATATCAAGTTTAATTTTTTTTTTAGTATTGAACATTTTATTACAGTAACTAAGATGTCATGACTTTCTGTGTTTGAAGTAAACTTTTCTGTGTGGTGTGCGGGGTGTTCGAATGGGCTAACGCGTTGTGCACAGCACCACCGTTGCCCGGCAACCTGATATATGATAAATGATACAAAAATAGTTATGAGTTCGCATCCCGGTGCCAAGGAGTCTTTTAAATCCCCACCCATACCCCCTGGCCCGGGAAAACCCCGTATAGCGTTTAAAAAAAAAATGAAACTTTTCTGTTCTTTATTTTTGTATCGATAATTGTTTTTTTAACTCTTGCATTAGTTTATGAAGGATATTCATAAACTGGTGGGGTGGGGGGATTGTTAGTAGTAAACCTAAACTGCTTAATCCTATTTAGATAATGAAATTAAAACACATGATTATAATGTTTTTAGGCTATAACAATTACTAAATATAAATTGAGTTTTTGTATGTAGCTAATTGTGTTCATTTGAATCCCTTTTTCATTTTTATTATTATTTATTGTCCGGACATTTTTATATATATGTATATATTAATTTTGTATTAATGTGTGTTCGGGTGTATTGTGTGTTTGATGACATTTTTACATTTTAATTTTAATGGATTACATTTGAAATGGAAAAGGTTGCAATATAAACAAAACGACGTTCAGGAGAATTTTAATGTTTTTAATGATGCATCAATGTTATTTTATTTGTAAATTTTCATTTTCGCCTATCTCGCTGAATTGCCTTATGTTATATATTTAATCTTTCAATTACTTTTTTTTTTTTTTCAGAAATTCAGATGTGCATGATTTTCAAATGCATCCCCTTTTTTCTCCTGATTGGTTAGTTCCTTCTAGAAGGGACATAAGATGGCATTTAAAAAATGAAATTAGAAATGAAGAGAATGTAGTTGTTAAAGAGGAGAGCTTGAATGGACCAAACTCCCTAACTCTAAGGCACGTATCTTTTTATCATGATATTTCATGGTCTTAAATCTAAAAAATACAGCTCATTTTTACAAATCATTATTCAATTAGATAATATATTAGACATTATTTTATATTGCTTATCAATCGAAATCTGTTATATGATTGATATGTATGATATTATTATTTGATTGCATTTGCATTGAAGGACATTTTAACTTTTGTTATTCGACTTGCAAATACATATATAAGAAATGCATAAAATATATTTCCTGTTCCACTGCTTAACTTAATTACTCCAACAGGTTTCGGGACCAGAATTACCATGTTTGCCTGTTTATACTGCTTTTGTCCCTTATTAAAGCATAGTTCCTTAGTAAATTGGTGATATCCGTTTGAGTAACCATGGCGTCGATTATACCATCTGTTTCCGTACTCGTTGGGGCTAATTTTAATAATTGGATATAATCGATTTTGGAATTGGAGCAAATTGTAGATGTATTAATAATAATAATACTTTATTTATTCTAGTCTCTTTAGAATAATACAAAAAGACAGAAATGTGGAGACTCAGAGATACATAAACAATAATCACAAATTAAATAAATAGTCATAATAAAAAAGCATCGGTTACTTTCTGACTTTAATCAATTAATAAAACATGAGAAAACGTGAAGTAAAAATAATTAAGAACAATCTAATAATTTATATACATATTTAGAGTAAAATCTATTTTTAATTTTATGGGGACTGAATGAATAAGAAATGATTGAACAGGCGGAATTTAAAAGTAGAGAGGATATTGGAGCGACGGATGTAGGTGAGGTTCGGAGGTGAGTTCCATAGGGATGAGGATCGGATAATGAACGATCTGTCGATAGAAGCGGTTCGGTGGGCCCTAATATATAGATATAAAGACCTAGAGCGGATACTGCGGATATGAATCGAGTATTTGAATTGAAGGAGATACGAGATGTTCATACATTGTACGCCTTCATTGGACGGCGGGATTGGATGACTTGGAAGAAGGATTCCAGGAAATACTTACGACGCACAGTGGGGCCAATGACCGATCTAGGAGGACAAACTTCATTGACCATAATTCTCGCCTGGAAATCATGTATTTGTCACAAATATATAAATAAGACTTTTATGGATTGAATTTATTCAATATAACATTAATTTATGGTAAAAATAAAAAATAAATAAAAACGTTTCAGAATGCCGTGATAACCCAGTAGTTTCGGTGAAGTTACAATGGCCAGGAAGTGTATGAATGCTCCCATAGACAGCATTTGTTACATTTGTGGGGAAGTAACCTTTGCAAGTCAAAAACGTCCTATCACCCAGATGATCAAGACAGCATATCACAAGTATTTTGGGATGAAGGTTGGTTACCTAGATAAACCGTGGGCGTCGCACATCTGCTGCATACATGAAGCGTAACCTTAAGAGAATGGTTGATCAAGAAAGGTCGTTAAATGAGTTTTGCTGTTTTATGGTGTGGAGGGAGCCTACTGATCACATTGAAAACTGGTACTTTTGCATAATCCCTCCTCATCATCATGGAATGTCTCGAAAAAAGAAATCTGAAGTGAAGTGCCTTGACATTCTTTCTGCTGTACGGCCAGTGCTACACGGGGACGAATTGTCTGTTCCAAGACCTCCTGAACACTATGACTTGAATAAGGACCAGGATAACGAAGAGTAAAATCCCCTAGGAGGAATCCCATCAGATGATTCTGATTTTTCTTTCGAACAAGATGAACGAAAACACCACTTGCTTACACAAGCTGAACTGAGTGACTTGTTTGGTTCCTGGATCTGCCCAAAGAGAAAGCAGAACTTTTGGATATCAAAAAGAGTAGGTAATAAAGTTTTCCCTTGAGGGACAATACACGAGAGGAGAAGTGTCTTAGAAGGAGTTTGACCTGGGATAACTACATATTGGAATCGGTCTGAAAGGAATTATTTGAACTAACGCAGGGCACTATTGAATAGAGGAAAATTTGGCAATTGAGTATAAAGGATGTTACGTTTAACTGTGTCAAACTAATTGGGAAAACCTAGATGAATGTGGATAGTAAAGTTTTCGTGTTCAATAGAGTTTTGGTGTCATTTGTTATTTTAAGAAGGGTGGATTGCGTCGAGTAGCCAGGTCGAAAGCCAGATTGGAATGGGTTCCCCTGAGAAGTTGAAAAGTTGATTTTGGACAAGGCGTTCCAACGGTTTTGAAAGATTGGAAAGGAGGGAAATAGGACGGAAATCGTGAAGTGAGGAAGGGTTATTAGTGGCAGATATTTCAACAGAAAGCGTTGAGAAGAAGATATTATTGGTTTTTGATGCTAAAGCGAAGCCTATCATTATTCAAGGTGTCTTAGATAAACATTTAGACCTAATAATGGACTGCTCTTCTGCCAAGGGAATGGCAAAGGCTCTCAAATATGTATTTGTAAAATCAACAGCATTTTCGAAACTAACCTATGGTAGCTTATTAGCCTGAGTTATTCTATTAAAGATAACATGGAAGATAATTTTTTGGTTTTTGATTCTATCATCGGAGATCTTAAAAAACAGAATTCTACTATGAAACAGACAAGATTTGCCACCTTAACTGTCTCTACCCGAGTAATTTATTGCAGTTGAGTAGTTACTGCATTGGATATTATTTCTGAAGTGAAAATAGATTTTGTACATGCCAGAATTTTATATGAATAATTAAAATTGAAAACAAAGCCACCAATCGTGAATCCCGAGATGAAGAATCATTTAAGGCTCAAAGTGTCAGTTTTATATGTGGTACGTTTTAAGGCACAGTGTTCCAGAAATAGATGTAATCATAGAAATAGATCTTGCCAGGGAACCTTCCGTGGAAGAAGAGGAAAATCCAGGATAATTTATCGATTATAGGATCGAGGAAATCGTTGCTGATACAAAAGGATAATTTATAGTAGTGGCTTTTAATGGAAGTGATGAAGTAAAAATCAAATTGGCTAAGATCTAATAGGCTAAGATTCACATCATACAAAACAATTATTTTATTTTTTCTTTTTTTCCTGGGAAGTTGTCAATTTATTTAGTTGCTTGGCAATAATAACTTCCAATTAATAACAATACGAGTATATTTTTAACGTTACATGTTAACAGTCTAGTTTACGTTTCGGGACCTTTTATTCCCATCTTCAGAACTGCAATTCCAATACTCTTGTGGATGCAAGGCTTAATTCTAATAATAAAAATAATAATGTGCTCCATCGTCAATTTTCTAATTTATGTTCTAAAGTTTATCATCTAGAGCAAAAAAGGAGAATGTTGCTCTAGATGATAAATTTTAGAACATAAATTAGAAAATTGACGATGGAGCACATTATTATTTTTATTATTAGAATTAAGCCTTGCATCCACAAGAGTATTGGAATTGCAGTTCTGAAGATGGGAATAAAAGGTCCCGAAACGTAAACTAGACTGTTAACATGTAATGTTAAAAATATACTCGTATTGTTAATAATTGGAAGTTATTATTGCCAAGCAACCAATTATTTTATTTTATTTGACTGCCTCACAAGTGTTCAACCCTCGTTTTGTAACTACGGTTTTACAACTTCCATCATGTCTTCATCTGTTGCTTTGTCCACATTATTAGGAACATTATCTGAAATCATAAAATCCATAAATGAATAATACTTTCGATGATGAAGAAACAAAAAAAAGCATTACTGAGTCAGTTTTCCATGAATTTTATTCGAATCTCATCTGCAATTGTAAAAAATTATACTTCAATTTCTTATGTCAGATTAATTTAAAAAATGATAAAATGTACTCACATATCGTGATCGAGAAGTAACAACTTCTTTTATCTACTTATGCTATCTATTTTCAAACTTCTTCAATCCATACTTACAGAAAATATCTATTTTCTTTCCTTTCCATTCGAATGAGATTTCATCACAATTTTGATATGAAACTTGAGCTCAGGTTGTGAAAGCATATTATGACCATATGGTTATTTCGAGCAGGCTATCCAATTTTCATCGTACAAACGCTTTCATTCAGATATCCGATTCAAGACGTTTTTAAGGTATCTTGTTTAAGAGATCTTTAAGACATATTTTAGCCACCTATAAAAAGTCATTTAATGCTATTAGATATGTTTTAGATGTCTTTCAGATATTGATGCTTGGTGGGTATAATTTTGGCTGACGCACTTCAAACAACCACTTTTTGCTTCAACATTTGACCCTTTTGAAAATTGGTTGTGTGAACAGCACCGTGCGTTGCCCAGGAACCTGATAACCGAAGTTAAAGATAGGAAAACAATGATGAGTTAAAATCTCGTTACCCGCTGGGACTTTTAACACGGCATAATTGGTTGAACATCATGATGAAAATACATATTGTGGAATGCAGATGATGATCGTAGATAGTGGAAAAATAATTTAATGTTGAACTCAGGATTGTTTGAAACTTAAAGTTGTGTTAAGAAAATAAAATTTTCATTATATCATTATATAAATGAACTCATCTTAGTTGAATTAATACTCAATAAAATAACTTAATGTTTAGGGAGCATGGAGTCGGAGAGAATTCATCTTCCATCAAGAGACCTCCAGCCACTAGAGACCTCGGTAGCCCACAACGTAAATCTAATGAGAGTAAAAAAGGCATTCCAATTAAAATAAAAAGGTATGTAAAATATAATATAATAACATGGCTCAGGAAAGCCCAATACTTGATGACGATCATTTCAGAGTAGCCTTTGCCTATTGTCTTCCTTTACTACTTGAGTAGTCCTTGTCTATAATTACGAAATTCGAAAAGTGAAAAAAAAAAAAAATTTATTGAGAAAATAAATCACACAATGAACATTAAGACATGCTAAGTACTACCGCTACAGATCTGACAGGCCTAGGATTTTATGGGGGTATATATAGGTAGAGGAGAGGGAAGCTGATCAGAATGTCAAGTCAGCATAGTTTGTTTCCATAACTATTCCCTCCTTAAAAAGTGAGGACCTTCGAACTAGGATGTTTGTTTTTCGTTAATGTAGAAATGCCACTCTCCAGACCTGGAGTCGCAAAATGATGATAGCTCGATGGGATTGCTCATAGATGGGGGATCAGGAGTTACAATTTTTGTTAAAGGTATGGGGTTGTTAGTCTTATTCTTAAAAATGGTCTTACATTTATAATTGTAAAATAATATATGGTGAATAAACAGATATATTATCAAGGTGAGATATAACAATGTCAGAATGAGTAATTGCAGAATAATTTTCTAATGTCTCTATATTTAGAGTTAATAAATCTAATTTATTTACATCAGCACCGTGCGTTGTCCAGGAACCTGATAACCGAAGTTTAAGATAGGAAAACAATTATGAGTTAAAATCCCGGTACCCGCTGGGACTTTTAACACGGCATAATTGGTTGAACATCATGATGAAAATAAATATTGTGGAATGCAGGTGATAATTGTAGATAGTGGAAAAATAATTTAAGTTTGAACTCAGGATTGTTTGAAACTTAAAGTTGTGTTAAGAAAATAAAATTTTCATTATATCATTATATAAGTTTATATAAACTCATCTTAGTTAAATTAATACTCAATAAAGTAACTTAATGTTTAGAGAGCATGGAGTCGGAGAGAATTCATCTTCCATCAAGAGGTTTCCAGCCACAGGTAGAGACCTCGGTAGCCCACAGCGCAAATCTTCTGAGCTTAAAAAAGGCATTCCAGTTAAAATAAAAAGGTATCTAAAATATAATATGACGAACGCTCAAAACTTCCAATGAATTACAAACGACTCATATACATGACTATAATAAGACCTATTTGGACTTACGGAGTTGAGCTATGGGGCTCCACTAAACCATCAAATACCTCTCGTATCCAATCTTTACAATCCAAAATCCTTCGTGAAATCCTCAATGCTCCTTACTTTGTCACAAATAAAATAATTCATAAAGACCTCAATGTTCCATATGTTTCCCATTTGGCAAAATCCAGATACCTATCCTTTCATAATAAACTTCATAACCATCCGAATCCTATTGTTTCTAACCTTACTTCCACTTCGATTCCTGATAACCCTCCGAGGCGTCTGAAAAGAAGATGGCCTCGTGATCTCCTCATGCAGACAAATTATTAGAGTGCTACCAATGGGTAGTTTTTCAACAAGCGTGTTTCATGTGATAATATTCCTCTGTACACATACTTGATGTATTCATGCTAATACAGTTGTAAATATCATAATAAAAAAATAATATATATATATATATATATATATATATATATATATATATATATATATAATATTGTATGATAACCTAGCTTAGGAAAGCCCTATAATTGATTACGAAACTTGCAGAGTAGCCTTTGCCTATTATCTTCCTTTTTTCCTTTTTTTTTTAGCGTTAATATTTTAAACAAAATCCTATTTTGGCAGAAATTTATGCTTTTTCAATCATAAAAGCCGTAGTTTTGCTTTTCTTGTGAATTTTCAAAGTTTATCGTGCCCTTCCTTAGTGATATTAAACAAGTAACAGTTGTCTGATAATGAAATAGTAAGATGACATCAGAGATATAGGGTGACAGTGTAATTCAAATATCAAGTATTACATATATAGAAGTTACAAACAAAAATAGAAAATAAGTGTGAATTTTTTTTTTTTTTATTTCTTTATGACATTTACAACTGTATTACATAAATACATCAAGTAAATTTGGACATAATTGATATAATGACATGAATACTCTTGCTGAGTAACTACCCAATGGTAGCACTCTAATGATATGACTACATTAGGAGATCACGGGGCCATCTTCTTTTCAGACGCCTCGGAGGGTTATCAGGAATTGAAGAGGAAGCAAGGTTAGAAACGAGAGGGTTGGAATGATTCTGAAGTTTATTATGGAAGGATAAGTATCTGGATTGGGCCAGATCTGAAACATAAGGAACATTAAGATCTTTATGGATAATTTTATTAGTGACAAAGTAAGGAGCATTGAGGATTTTACGAAGAGTTTTGGATTGTAAGGATTGGATGCGAGAGGAATTCGATGGTTTAATGGAGCCCCATAGCTCAACTCCGTAAGTCCAAATAGGTCTTATTATAGTCAAGTATATGAGTCTTTTGTAATTAATGGAAAGTTTAGAGCGTTTGTCTAGTAAGTGCTGAAGTAATCGGAAATGTCGAGCGGTTTCTTGTCGTTTCAGTCTAGTATGAGGATTCCAAGTTAGTCGTTTGTCCAGGTGGAGTCCTAGGTATCGGATTTTCTCAACAGGGATAAGTGGAGTATTGTTAAAGGAAACTGTAGGACAGGAAGTCGTTGGTTTACGACGAAGGGTAAAGGTAATTTGGTGGGATTTATTGGAGTTTATTTTAAATCTCCAGTTTTGACACCATTCTTCTAGATTTATGATGTGTGATTGAAGCATTTGGGATGCAATTGCTAGGTCATTGTTTACTGATAGGATACATTTGTCATCGGCATATGTGGTGATGACAGTGTTGGGACAGGTAGGGATGTCAGCTGTATAAACTGTATAGAGGATAGGACCTAGGATACTACCTTGAGGAACACCAGCGGACTGGGAAAGTGTGAATAAAAATATTTAAAAAAGGTGACTATAGCGTGTAAGTTAAAAATAAATATATTGTGATAAAAAGACAAGATATGAGTGGATAACAAACTGGTAAAGGTTACATTTGATAATTGTAAATTAACGGATAAAGAAAATGAGGGTGGTTGAGGGTTGGATGAGGGTATTTATTAACGAATAAATAAATTGAAAAATGAATAAGTAATAATCTAGTAAAGGTAAAATAAGAATGAGATAATAATAAGATATCAGTGGATAACAAGATAGTAGACGTTACACTTGATAAATGTAGGTAAACAAATAACGAAACTAAAGGTTAAGAAACAAAGGAATTAAAAAACTAATACGATAACATGAGTGATTTAGTGAGTTGTAATATCGTTAGGATAGATTTATATATATATATATATATATATATATATATATATATATATATATATATATATATATATATATATATATATAACTCTATAAGTAAAAAATAGAAGAGGTATTTAGAATTTAAGTAGAAATGCTAAAAAGGTTTTGATGATGAAGAACAGTACAGTATATATAAATGACAATTGACATTCAGTTTTTTGAAAGCGCTAATGGATCAGTATGCTATATTAAGAGTATAATATGATATATAGTTGAATGATAGGTGTGTTAAGAAAGAATCATAATACAATCAAACATAGCGTGGTATAGGGCACTGCAGGAAGCAGTTGGTTCACTTGGCAGGCGAAATGTAGTGGATTTTCGACTACGTCACATAACTTACAATTTGGCGTCGCCTTTATTTTTATCAAATTTGAGAATTAATTTATATTGCCATAAATGGTTTTCAATATAGTTAATTTAACCCCACTTCTTTCCAAATATATTCTAATAGCGGCGAACTAAGGTTTTTAACAAAATGGATGGATGAAATATTGGTCTCTCCCTTTGATTTGAGAATACCAGCCATATATTCTACCATATATATTGTTTCCAAGTCAAATTCAACCTTTTATATTGTTTTACCTTTTTGAATTTATACAATATAAGGCTCTTGTATTGTGTTGTCCTATACGCAGTTTTTGAAAATAATCTCGATATGAATTTACGCCACTGTATACAAATTTCGATTTGTTTATTTTTTCGGATTTATTCGATATAAGGGTGTACTTATAAGTTATCGGAGACATTATTATTTTAAAATAATCTCCATTTCAAAATTACGCCACTGTTTCGATTTTTTAAAGTTTTTTGTATTTATACAATGTCAGGGTCTACTTATAGATTATTGGGGGCGTAGTTTTTGAAAATAACCTCCATTTCAACACTACTCCTCTGTGTTTCGATTTGCTTAAGTTTTTTTTTTTCGGAATTATTCGATATAAGGGTCTACTTACAGGTTACCGAAGACGTAGTTTTTGAAAATAATCTCCGTGTGAAGATTTCGATTTTTTTAAGTTTTTCGGGTTTATTGGATATAAGGGTCTACTAATATGTTATCAGATAAGTAGTTTTATGAACTACTTTGACAAATTACGTCGTTGCTTCTCGATTGATTAATTTTTTGGGTGGATTTTTTCAATATAAAGTTCCATCAATATGTTTTCTAGTATAAAAAAATAAATATTTATGAAGCTAAGATTAATTAACTATAAAATACATAAGTAAAAAGCTGATAAAGAATGTTATAATAAATTTAATCTACCATTTACAAATTGTCCAGCTAATTGTTCGAAATTCTTATCTCATTATTTTGAGAGAAAACGCCACAATATTAAAATAAAATTTAAAATATGAAAAGATTAATCTTTTATTTATTTTGTCTGAAAAATAGATAAAAACTACATTGGTTTTTATAATTATGCTTTTTTTTCGATAAAGATATCTCAATATTTTACTCGCTCCATCATTTATAAGTACTTTTGAAGAGAAGGATGGTTGGGGAGATCAGTCAAATTGAAATGGTAAAAAATAAATAATTTAATTTTTTACCATTTAAATTTGACTGATCAATCCAACCATCCTTCTCTTCAATTATTCACTACAGTCAATCATCAACCCACAATGATAAATACTTTTATATGTATTTACACCAAAGAAAATTTAATTAGAATAAGAATAGAATAAAAACAAAAGGAAATACCTATACCTCAAAGATCGGAATTTTTACTCTTATGCAAAAAATGATCTTGACCATTAAGCTGCGTATCTTGCAATTTTAAGCTGTGTAATCTTAAAATGGAGATAATTATAAAAAAAAAAAAAAAAAAAAATTGGTCTCCAGATACATATAAATAGACCCTTACATCAAATAATTTCGAAAAACTTTAATAATTCGAAACGTAATTAAAGTGGAGATTATTTTCAAAAACTATGCATACGATAACTGAAATGCTTTAGGAGGAAAAGTCATTTGGAGAATATACAGTTCTGCATCAATACATTCAAGGTAATTTGGACTAAGAATATCAGGATGTGGATTAAAGGTTTTGAACAGGAGTTGAGCAAATATTTGTGATTTTTCAATCAGTTTTGGACCAGGTTTGAACTTCGGTAAGCAGAGGATGATTATAATCTAAATTTCAGGAGCTTTTTAGTGGTTGTCAATATTGATTTGTCGGCAGGTGTAAGGTTTTCAGTAAATTTTGAATTTTCTAATTTCTCGTTTTAGTTTGTTTGTCGGGTGTAATGAGTTTAAATCTGTCGGATATCTAGTTCTGTGCCACTTCGATCTTGTTCTGCGTTTTTCCTTTAATACGATTCGAATATGCTGTGGCAAGTGGTCTGTTTTGTATTTTATTAGCTTTACTGGAAGAGGTGTTATCATTTATGTTAGTTCTAATTGATGTTGTAAGTTTTTCTATGGCACCATCAATATCTTGTTTTGTCTTTAGCGGAATTTTCAAGTCTAGTTTTATTTTCCAAATCATCGCGAAATCTGAATAGGAATTCGAAATTATCTTAGGAGCAATGTTTGAATGCATTAGAAACAGAACTGGACTATGATCTGAAGAGAGGTCATCCAGGGATTTGATTATGTCTTGGGAGGAGGAAATCTGAGAGTTCATCATTATTTCTAGGATATAGGGGGAAATAGTTGAATTTGGTTGGAAAAGGTTGAATTTGACTTGGAAAAAAAAATGAAATTATATATTCTAACATTGATTAATATTTTTTTTTTACTTAGCAGAAGGAAAATGTCCGTTTTTGAGACTTTAAAAGTAATTCCTATTGCTTTGGTAGGATTTCGAGCAATTTGATCTGCCCTTTCATTTCCGTGTAGACCCACATTATTGTTATATTTGACAATAAAATCAAGAATTTCATTCAAAATATAATTAGCAATGGGGTCCTGTGTGCATTTTGTAGACATGGCAAACAGAGGCTAAATCTGTGAGAACGACAATATTACATTATTTGCAGTTGAGGTTAATATGTTCTGCAGCCTTAAAAACAGCAAGAAATTCTTCATGGAAGATGTTGAAATAGTTTGGGACATAAATTGATTTTCTTTTGCGGATCATAAACGGCTAATGAGCATATGTTGGTTGTCTTAGAAGCAGTGGCGGATCCAGATATTTCTGAGGGAGAAGGAGCACATGTATATAAATAAAGAAATGAGTATTTTACTTTTTTGTTTTGTCTAGTATTTTGCCATAAATGGTACTCAAAATTTCTTAACCGGAAAATTGACGTATATGTTGACCTAAAATAGGACTTTTTTTCTTTCCAAAAATTCAATTGAAAATTAGTTTCCTAGTGATCAAAGCACTCTAGCAATTACTTTCAGCAACAATCTTCAAATATTTCGCCAATAATCTTTGGTTTTGAGTAGAAAGTATAAATAAAAACTGGCGGTTTTATGGTTACTTTTTGAAATTAAATTTATTCTCACCTTCCAAGGTCCCCCCCACATCCTCCTCCTGGATCCGCTAGTGCTTAGAAGCATCAGTATAAATTTTAATATGATTAGTGAATCTATCAGCTATTTCAGAGATGGTATAAAGTTTTAACATACACGGTGATAATGAATTTTCATTATTCATATTTGACTATTTATATTTACTGCGATAGAGAATTAAGGTTTTTATTTTATTTGTTTATTTTTTTATTTTTATTTACCTTTTTCATCAGTATTATTTATTTACTTCTTATATTTATATTTATTTCTTTATTATTTGTATACATTGTATGAATGAGAACTTTTAGCCCTAATGCTGCTTATAGCCCTCCAGCAGTGGCTGATTGTATTATTATTCAATAAAAAAAAAAAAAAAAAAAAAAAAAAAAGAAGAGAATTAAGGATTTCGGAAAATGTGTACAGAGATTCAGAGGGCCAGGGGAAATATAAATTTGAATATGTGTTATGACTTCAGCAACGAATTTTAAGTCCGAATGAGGTTACCCTTGGGATTGCACTGGTCATAGTAAGCTTTACTTAAGAATTTTTGTTAGCCATTTCCAATGCAAAGATACACAAGTTCCACCAGCTTCGGTTAGCAGTGAATTTATTGGAGTTGCTTTTAAGGCTCGAATATATATCCCCAGGGCTGCCCCGAATATCATTATTCTGTATTTATCTTGTGCCTTGGTATGTCTTGCTCAAAAAATAACTATTTTATGTTCGTTTATTTCCCCTAATTTCTGTAGTCCCTCCGGTGGACCCTCAATATAAATGTTTTGTACTTTTTTGCCACCGCAGAACGATTGGGGGTCCCCTCCGTGGAACTGAATTTTCATAAACTTTAGTTCATTTACCGGAATTGTGTTTGTTTATATATTTAGAGCGGAAATAAAGGATGGTTATATACAGTTAAAATAATAATATACAAGTTTATTTCTTATCTACCTATACAAAATTAAAATTTTAAAACGAAGATTTCATGTTTAATTTAATTTTTTTTTTATTGTTTTGGTTTGTGGTATTTTTCGATACAAATAACTTCAGAACCTTATTTTCTTTATGCTCAATACAATTCTTAAAATTAAACTTGAGAGCATGTTCAGTTATAGGAGATATCAGTACGTACCTAGAAATTGTTCGGACATTTATACATACAAAAATAATTTGAAATATATTATAACTACCTTTAGGCGGATCATGGCGGTTTGAGTTAATTCAAATTTATCTTTAACAATGACTGCTGAAAAGTTGTTAGAAATAAATTTTTCGGAGGATATCGGAGCCTTTTTTAAATCGCATTCTTTGTAAAAAATTGAATTAAAAACACCTATTTTTATTAACAAAAAGAGAAAAAGATTCGAAGTAAAACAGGTTTCATACATTATTATATATATTTCTAGTTATGCGAAATTACATAAAATGACTTGGTTTTCAATTGAACTATTGAATAAAAAAGTGACAATGTGTATTCTGTCAATTGAAGATATTTTCAAGAATTCCAGTAGGCATCAATAATTTTTAATACAATTTATCTAGTTTTATTTAGTTATAATAATTTTATATAATATTAAAATAATAGTTTTAGTCGCTGTTGCGAGTTTTCCCCTACTCGGCCCAATGTGCGCAGATCTACAGGTGGCAATTGCTAATTATTAGAAATTAATAATAAAAAATACAAAACGTAATAAAATAATTAATTTTAATTTATCAATAAAGCAGCTGTATTAAAGAAATATTGAATGAAATAAAATTCAAATATTACATAATTTAAAATAGCTTATGAAATAAATTTTTTTAGGGGGGAGAAGGAGACGAAGTCATTGCCCAGGGCCCCGAATGTGGCTGGTTAAAGAAATCGAAAAATACAGATCTAATAAAAAAAACATTAACATGGGTCTGTTCGACATGTGGTCGAGGAAAAAAATCTGCAATTGAGAAACAAAATTTAAACAATGAACCGTCAGTATCGGACATCCTATCTTTTTAATATTATTCAGTTTTACCTGAAAAAGTTCTAGAAATGTACCAATGTTGTTGAGGCTGTCTCCCTCCCCTCGTGTTTAATGTATACAAATACGAAATATATTCATTTGTTTTGTTCATTTATTTTCAATTATATCAAATACATAGGTAAAAAAAATAAAATAAAATAAAAAACCTTACGACAATACAAACATATAAATAAATTTATTTTAAAATTAATTAATTAATAAATATTTAATATCATATTTGTTCGTTTCACAATAATTTTTTTTTTTTAATTTTATTATTTTATTTATTATTTAAACAGAAATATACAAAATACTTATCGAGAACATTTACCCCATAAACTTAATCAACAAACTTTGGTACAGTCGATTACATACAACACTAAACAATAACAAAATTAGAGCCAAAAAACAAACAATACAGAAAAAACCAGAAGAAAACACTACAATAAAGAAACCTACATAACAATTCATCACCCATTTTTTTGAAAAAACAAATCCAACAAACGAAAACAATCAGGATAACATAGCACATACAAACAGAATGGACTTCAACTACCACTACAAAATGACATACATACCTGGACTCACTAACAAAATTAAAAACGTGTTCAAAGATTATGACTTGACAGAAATTAAATTCGGACAATACAATAACAAGAAACTAAGCAGGCACATCACCAACACAAATGATAAAATAGAACCAATAAACAAGAAAAATGCAATATACAAATTAAACTGTCAAAACTGCCCCAAAATCTACATTGGTGAAACATCCAAACAATTAGGAACTAGAATCGCACAACACATCACCAACTGTAAAAATCCAAAAAACATAAACACAACAGCCTTAGCACATCACAGTATAAAACTACAGCATAAATTTAACTTCAACAAACCACAAATAATTGGCACAGAACCAAAGAACACCAACAGAAAATTACTTGAAGCAATACACATTACAAAAAACAACAGAACTACAGTTAACTACAAAACAGACACTAAACATTTAGGAACCCATTATACAGACAATTGAACAAAATTAAAATTTAATAGAAGTGAAATCACAGACACATAAAATAACACTAACAACAACAATCAAAATAGTCAGATAAAACATTTAGATCCAAAGGTCAAATTTTCACTATGTCAGAAACCCAATTATTGGTCAAAAGGAGAACGTTGCTCTAGATGATAAATTTTAGAACATAAATTAGAAAATTGACGATGGAGCACATTATTATTATCATTAGAATTAAGGTAATTAAAAATTTATTGTAACAAACATAATACAAATATGTAATGTAACAAGCACAATATTGTAACTTAAAAAATTTTTAGCCTTGCATCCACAAGAGTATTGGAATTGCAGTTCTGAAGATGGGAATAAAAGGATCCGAAACGTAAACTAGACTGTTAACATGTAATGTTAAAAATATACTCGTATTGTTAATAATTGGAAGTTATTATTGCCAAGCAACTAAATAATTTTTTTTTTATTTATTATCCCCCCTTCCCTAATCAAAATTGAAAATCTGCGCCTATGATGGAAATACGGTCTCTACTTATTATGTTCCTCAACTATTTTATATTTATTGAGTAATATAACATTCTGTCACATGCATAATGGTTATACTAAGGTCAGATTACATTTACACCATATATACTCCTTTACTATTAGAGAGATTCCCTTATGTGACTACTAAAGAAGGCCTAGGATACTAACTGGGGTACCAGAAGTAGCCACACTTTTGAAGTGTTTAATTTTAATTAATAGTAAAATTAAATTTAATAAACGCCAAGCGATAAAATGTTAACAATGTTATTATAATAATCAAAACCTCAATTAATTGACTGGAATGAGTAAAAACGTTCTTAAGACAACCCTGTTCGCGACGGGCAAGATATTAACATAATCATTTATGAGAAGAAAAATTGTTTAAAAGTAAGTCAGAACTTCCAAAGACTTTCGAACTAAATATTCTTTCATTACATCAATGGACTCACCTTAGTTGAATTAATACTAATGAACATATCTTAATGTTTAGGGAGCATGGAGTTGGGAAGAATTCATCTTCTATCAAGACCTCGGCAACCCATAACGTAAATCAACTGAGTAAAAAAGCCATGTGTTAAGGGCCGAATTATATTTTAATGTTTATATTTAAGAAATATTTCTCAATAAAAAATTGAAAATAATCAAATAAAAAGGATATATACATATATATAATTTAATGTTTTATTTCTCTTTGATTAGTTTATTTGTAGTAAGAAGATTATTTTATTTTTTATGTTGATTAATCATATTATAGATTTTTTTAGAAGTGTGTAATTATAAATCTACAACTATTACATTTATATATCATTTATTTTTTTTTCTGATTTAAAATCAGGAGGTTATAATAGAGAAGTAGGATTGAAATTAACTCTGATATCGCCCCTTCTCCAACATTCTGGTCCTCCGGGCTGGATCTTATAGTTACACACTTTTTAATTTATAATTATTTTTTAATGTAAATTTTAGCAGTTAAAATTAATTTAATTAATAATTATTTTGTTTTGATTTTGATCATAAATGAGAGACTGAATCGTTAATTCTTTTGATAGTAACCGATCCCAGTCAGACAACTATTTTTAAAGCTCCATTGTCTCGGTTGTACACAACCTGTGAAACATTAAGAAAAAGGCGAATGAAGCTATCAGCTTAGGACACGGGCGGATCTACGGGGGGGGTAGGGGGGGCTTTCGGTAAAATACAACCAATTTTTATAGAAAAAAAAATTTAAAAATACCTCTTAAAGTATTATTGTTCGTGTAATTACATTTAAAAGGACTTAAGGAATCACTTAAATACCATTTCTTATAGGTAGTTAGTTTCTTTCTGTTTTTCCGAAGTAATTATCGTTATTTTTATGAAAAAAAAAGGTTTCAGGCTGAAGCCCCCCTCCCCCAAAATCCTGGATCCGCTAGTGGCTTAGGACAGTCCCTATCAAGTACTGATCATGTTGAGACTTTAAAGGTCCTTAAGCAGGAATATCATGATTTGTTTTCCAAAGCGTTTGCTGTTGAAATTAAGGAACTAAAATCCGACACCCAATGGACCTCTTTTTATCAAATCCTTGTGGAAACATCAAGCATCACTGTAAAATTGCAATCCATGTATATAGGGTGGCTCAGTTCTTAATCACCAAACTCTGGGGGGAGAGGGGGTGATCTTAAACAAAACATCTTATTTGATGCATGGGCCGATTCTTAACGAAAAATGAGTTAAGACAAATTTTGTTTTTTCCTTAAGTTAGTCACGGTTTTTATTGAATAAGAAGGAATTTCTCAAAAACTGTTCATGATAATTAAATTCTAAGTACACCATCGTAAAGTAGACAAATATTTTTGAGAAAATAGTGATTAAATTTAGTAAGATCAGTTATGGAAGAGATTTTAAACTTACTATGGTCAATGATAAAAGGGACTTTCAGGAGGTCTAATGCGGTCGCTGTACTGCCGTAGTTACATTACCTATACACAAGCAGCATATTCCTGTTCAACGGCCGCATTAAACCGCCTTAAAGTCCCTTTTTTTCACTGACCTTAATAAATTTAATCACTGTTTTTCATAATCACGGATTTTCTACCGGTATACATTCATTTCATTGATTCTTGAATATACTGACTTACCGAAAGTTCAAAAATTCCATTATTTGAAATCGTTACTAAAGAAGTGTCAAACCGCACGATTAATATCACCAATAGCTATTTCAGCCGCTGGTTATGTACAAGAATGGGAAAGGTTATGTAAACGATATGATATTAAACGCCTATAGGCGTCCAATTATCTTGCCAACATTTTTAATTTCAACCCGTTCAAAAAGTGAATTTCAATAGTCTGGATCAATTTTCCGAAATTTTACTAGAAAGTGCAACTGCCTTCAAGTCATTGAATTTAACAAATCCAACAGGATTTATCCTGTAAACTTATACCTTGCGATTGCTAAACCCTCACATCCCTGAGCATTTCGAAGCTGAATGTGTGGGAAGGCCAGATCTTCCGGGTTTCAATTTTTTTGTTGAATTTATACGTAGGCAATTTTTAAAATTGTAAGCCACGAACCTCACCATAAGCCCAAAACATCAAAGCTATACAAACCCTTTACTAAATAAGAATCCCAAACAAGTATTATTCATACCAAAAGACTAACAGCTGTTCATTGTACTTACAATGCCATAGGATATACTGTTGTAAGCAATTTATTAATCTTGATCTTATGGACCGATATAGAGCAGTTAAATATCATTCTTTATATTTTAATTGTCTGTTTTCGTCCCACTCATCAATCAATTGCAGATAAATAAATACTATTTTAAGAGGAAGATTCCAATCTGTTTGTTCTTTAAACGTTAGAGTGGATTGTACCTTGAGTTAATACCGCGTTCAACTTCCAATGAAGGTAGTAGTTCCATCTTTCCAGAATATCGTTTTTGTGTTTAAGCAGCCAGTTGTAGCTCGCATACTGGTAGATATCGTTATATCCAAGAGTGCTCAAAATTTGGTGAAGAGGAGCAAACCATGAGTCATGAAGATTTTCAGGACGAAAGCCTGTTCTATTCAGATCCTTTCATAATACGTTCATGGCAGTTCATCCAGTTCCAATGACTGAATAATAATCCACCAGGTCAGCGTTCTCTTCAAGATTGAGAATCTTAATGGTGAGCCTTCAGATTACACTCTCACAAAGTAGTTTGGTGTTGTTAGAGGTAAGTGAAATATACCTTTAAAGAATTTCATGTAAAGTCTCTCGACCCAGTAAAGATGCTTCGGAGCCCAGACTTCTGAGATGTGGAACGCCGTTGCGGCAACAATGGATTGATATTGTGATGTCAGGAAATAGATTCAGGAAACAAATGAGGCTTTGTTAAAAACTTTCCACCACAAAACACAAAAACGCCTTTATTCCTCTAAATAAACATGACACAATCAGGAACAAAACTACTACTACCCTCGCAGAGTAACCTCACCCAAACCAACCTTGCCTTTGTTTACAAGCTCAGCAGTGCTGCTAGATAACATGCATTAACTCTACAGATATAATGTTCGTGAAGCCTTCCAAGATTTCACTTTTTCCAATACCTCTCACACCTTACCACGAGCAAGATGTGTCCCCCCTCAAGATCGATGTGGCACCTTGTGTGAACCTTCCCCCTCCCCTACCCTCCTTTGATATTTTATTTCTCTCCTCTTCTTAATAACAGTGAAAACGAAAGTAAAATTTAAAAGATTGTAGATAATATGCAATTACACTTGCAGTGGTCTGTTCCCTGTTTTCCCATAATCTCTTGTTTGAAAATTTCCACTTCAGAAATTCATGACCCCGCCGAGTCGTGCTCCCCTCAAAAATTTAATAATCTGTCAAAATGTCGGGTACTTCTGTTTGGATGAGAATATCAAATAGAATAACCCTCACGGTTAACTTTTGGATTAAATTCAGCTTGACTGCATAGCTTTTAAGCCCAGTTCATTCAATTGGTTCCACGGAAGCTTATGATCAATGGCGTCGAAATATCTATGCAGTCGATGAACACAACGTACAAATCCTGTCGTTCCACTTTAACGTACCTAAAGCCTGACTGTTGTCTTGGTATTAAATTGCATTCTTCTGACCACTGTTTTATCCTCTTCCCAAGAATCGAAGTAAAAAACTTGCAAGTAATGCTACGATAGTCAGAGGGGTCAAGACTATCCCCTCTCTCGAACAATATACTTAGGATTGTTTTAGTCCATCTAGCTGAGACCTTCTCATTTCTTAACACCTGTTTCATAAGTTATTGGTTGATAAAAATATCATGAAAACAAAAGGTCAAAATCTGAAATTTAATTAATTTTTATTGATGTGATCAATGCCAACATTAATTTTTTGATAAATTAATGGGAATGAGGAAAAATAATTACTTAAGATATTCATAAAATATGAATATCTAGGTAACTTTGCCCTATGGGCTTTTCTAAAAACTAGCTTAGAGCCCTTATTATTTCAAAAATAAAAAAAAACAATACCTACATTTCAAAGGACCCAAATTTACATGCGTTCTTAAAGAGTATTTAAAATGAGGGATTAAAGGGGCGAGAATATAAAAGTAAAAAAAATTTAAAAATATTAATTATCATTCCAAAATGGAATTTTATTTTAAAAAGAAGAATTTATAACATTGATGGGTATCAAATTTCTCGGTTTTTCATTGAAACTCGATGAGATAGCCCGGTCATATTAGACATGTTACCTTGCAAGAGGTAGACTAATTCAAATTTCTTTTTTTATATTGTTAAGTAAAAAATCCAAGTAAAGCCTTGTGGGTTCGCTGCAGTGCTCCAAAAATCATTCAAATTTCCAATTTTTTTTGGTTTACGCTAACCATCAATTTTTAGAACGACGTATTATTAAACAGCTTCAAATTATCTGACATTTTCCTACATAACATTTGTTTCTAAAGCCCACAGGGAGGGAACTATCCAGCTTTCAAAATTTACCCATTTCGATTTCTTCAAAATATTTCTGTTTCAGTTTGCGATGAAAGAATTTTTCAACTCCATTTTGAACCTCGTTCAGAGAAATCGGAGGATTTCCTTGAAGATAATGAGCCGTTGATTGGACCGGTAGACGGTAGTCGGAAGGGGTTTTGAAAAGTATGTTACACGGTGGACCAGAACCCCCCCTTCCGTGCACCCTCTTCCCACATCCCGAAAAATTGCACGCAGTTGTGTTCCTTGTAACTATTTATTGAAAAAATAAATAAATAATAAACCAATGTTATCACGAAAAAAGTGGGCGTAATGTCCCAAAATTTTGGCGAAACGAGGCGGATTGACGTCTTTGCCTTGAGTTAGATTTTCAGTCGTTGAGATTGAGCATTTGGCTTAATTTCATCATAATTTACCATTTATGAAAGCTGGATAACTAGACGATAATAAAACATGAAAAAATATTTAAAAATAATAGCCCTCGTCAATAAAAAACAGCAGTAAATCAAATTAAAGTTGAAAATCAAGCGTCGTTTGTCAATGAAGGGCTCACAGTAAAGAAAAACAGCCGGAAGTAAAACATATGGAGAATATATTTCTCTTTCTAAAACACTAAAATATTTGAACCAGTTACGTACAAAATACACTTAATCGGGGGACTGGCATAGGCGACAAGAGTACTATGCCACATTATTCAGTACTCATAAATAGCATAGTTG